CGCTTACGAACATTTATGTTTTGACCCCTTTGGAGACTTCCAAAACCATTATCAATTATTTGGCGATGCACTCTTACAAATACTGAGTTGGATGTCGTCTGTTTGGAAATCGAAATAACTCAAAAACGGCTAACTATAACGAAAATTCACAAGAGAGCTGTTTTGTGCTGAAAAGTGCGAAGAATCAGTTTTTTTATTCAAAAAGCAAAAAATTGCACTAAGAAAAATTTTTCGGTCATTTTAATACACTACAGATACAGTAGAGAGCGCCCTCTAGCGGCTACAGTAAAACTATGCCCATGTTTCGTTTTGTCGTACCAAAAAACCCTTGTATACCAATTTTCACTGTTATACATCAAACATTGTTCGAAATATTTAAAAAAAAACTATTTTAGAAAGTAAATTTAAACACCCTGTATTTCGGAAGCCACGCATTTTTCGACCCATGTTTATATAGACTTTATGCATTAATTTTAAAAGTTCTATCGAATCTTAAAGTTGTGCAACAATAAACTGAAACACCTGCTATGCACCTTATTATTCTCTTTTGACTTCGAAATACCTTTGAAGCATTCACCGAGGAACCCCAGAAGTACAATGCATACCGCATTCGCGTCTCGATATGACTGTGATATAACATCAATAACTGGTCGCGTGTAAAAACTGTTTTCAGATTTTTAAATAGGTAGGCCTGTGAGCTAAGCTTCGCAGACAGGTGATCACAATGTCCTTTAAAATTGAGGCACTCATCCAGGTGCAGTCCCAAGAATGTTGTGCTCTCACTAATGGGCAGGGCTGAATTATTCAATGTAAGCTGCAGGGGAGGTATTGGTTTTTGGGCATTGTGGAATCTGATTGCTGTTGTTTTTTTCACAGTGTAGATGCAACTGGTTCTCTACGAACCAGCTATTGATGCTATGTAACAAGCTGTTATAGTCGTTAATTAGGATAGCATCATCTTTATTTGATAAAATAATCGATGTGCCGTCCGCGTATAAAGTAAAGTGTGCTCTGGGGAAGGACCGCTCAAGAGTATTTACATATAATGCAAACAGAACAGGCCCCAACACAGATCCTTGTGGAACGCCAACATCCATATTTATCGCACTAGGAATGACTTGTATTAGTTGTCCTGAGCAGTTATGAGTTATCGTCACATACTGCAATCTCTTTTTTATGAAGGATTTTATCCAGAGGTAGATCTGACTTCTGTTATAAGTAAGGTGATCGAGAGGTGCATACATCTGGAGCTTCTGGAGTACCTCGAACGTCATGGCTTGATTAGCGACAGGCGTATGGTTTTCGGCATCAGCGATCCACAGGGGATTCCTAGCTTACGTCAAGCAGTTGTAGGATAAACTCATCCAGTGTTAAGGCGAGACTCATGTCGTTGCTCTTGGTTTCACGAAAGCGTTCGATCAGCCGTGACATGCTGGCCTCCTATGCAAACTTCAATCCTATGGCCTTCCAGAGAAGTTTTGCAGGTGGATGGCCGACTTTCTGTCTGGTCGCAAGATATCCGTTCTCCTCTTCATCCCATAACGTCAACACGGGTGTTCCCAAAGGATCGGTCTTGGCTTCGATAGTATTGATCTTACATATCAACGGTTTCCTTTCCTGTTCGATCAGTTTGATCCACAGCTTTACTGATAACAGCACTCTACATGCCGGAATCCAGAGTGACAAGCCGACCTCTACCGGTGAGCTGGAGCACAGAAGACTACCAGCGACTTCCTCTCTGACGAGAGACTCGGAGGTTACCACTGCTTGCAGATGCAACAATCTTGTTCAGGTTCCATGCTTCCAAAACACAGTTAGTGCAATACTTGACGAACAATAAGCGTCCTAGCGCTCATCCGGTTTCGATCGATGGCCAAGTTCTACCAAAGAGTCGTTCATTTCTGCTGGTTGGAGTCCAGATCATCGAGGACTTGACCTGGCCCTAACACGTCGTGTCAATCGCAGCAGCTGCTGTAAAAATCTAGGCTATTTGTTTAGGGCTAAGAAGTACGTTTCTCCGCATGATCTCCTCCATTATCGATGCTCGATGCTGTCCAGAAGAGGACTGTCCGACTGATGGATGTCTCTACACTGAGGACTTGTTCTGATACGAACACGTCAATAGTGGCAGCTGCTGGGAAAAAGCTAGGCTGTTTAGAGCTAAGAAGTACTTTCCTCCACAACACCTTCTCACTCTTGTAAAACGCTCAGACATGACTCAGCCCTGAGTACTGCTCGCATGTTTGGACTGATGTCGCCCCTACTACATTGACCATACTACGCGCTATTAAGAGGAGGGTTGTCCGATAAATTGATGACACTTCTCCAATGTACAGTCTCGGAACCCTTTCGCACCGACAGGCGATCTGGATATCTCCTACCACTATATCAACGGGCTTTGTTCCTCAGAGCCCTCTCGTCGATGATGCCACCCGCTTGTTGAGCCTGTTAGACGCAAGAGCCAAATGATGAACAAGAAAAAACATTTATCCACTTGGCGATTAGGCTACCTTCGGTCTTTTTAGCCATTTTTGCAAGGTGACATGTTCGATCAGACTGATGATCATATTTCTCCATCAAATGTATGCAATGTTGATACCGATGCTGCTATTGATTCGGGGCCAGCTCAACGATTCTTCACCTCTCTAGTTTTGCAAGGAGCTACCAGGATCTTCATTGCGAAATTTCAGGGGTCATAGGTCGATCGGAAGTCTGGAAACCAGCTCAAAGTTTGAATGTTCGGTAAAAATGTAAATTTTGGAGTGTTGGCTACTTTTCCCATTTCTCCCCATGCCTGTCACTGGAGAGCATTATTCCGAAGTAATATTGTCCAAGGAAGTAAAAAATGAGCTCTAAATTGCGCTATGACAGTTCAGTCAGCAGATATTTCAGTCAGAAGTGGTTTTTACAAAACTTTTCACTGGTTTATTGGAAATTCCTTCCAAAACGAAAAATGCACAAAATAATTTTGGTCATTTCAATGATTCTGGAGAGCGGGTCACGATTGGCTCAATTTTGTTTTTAAGGAGAACCTGTGGCGGCATGACCCTTGTAAGATCTCAAATGTCTAGGTCGAACAGTTCGCTCTAAAGACACGTCAAAAGTTTCAAGGTTCGGAAAAAAGTGAATTTTAGCCTTTCTTCATCGTTACTTCTGTGATCTGTGATCTGATAATTCGTTCATCAAATATTTCAAAAATATTTTTTTTTTAATTTTTTTATTGTTTTCTTGGAGTGAGAAGACCTCCCGAAACAAAAAATCCACAATATCTTTTAACATTGCTATGGTATCTCACTTTCCATCGGAATCAGACAAGTAATGCCTGGTGGGCTTATGCGCATGCGCTTTGTTTGGCTCGAGAAAGCTCCTCTTTCACTTCAATCTCTCTCACGTCAGTTATCAGCATTTTCCTAATACGTGTAACATTCTCGAAGAATTAAATTTGCTGTCTAATGCAAACCACAGCTATATCAATTACGACAAACTTGACACACACTCTGTCTCATTCTCCGCTTCTGTTTCGTTTCAAGGGAACAACACGCCGTAATTTGACGCGCGAGGTGTGAATATTTAACTAAAAATTAAATTTCACCCCAACAGAGCATTTCCTTTTCGTCTTCAAATTCATTTAAACCTATGAGAAAAGCAGCTCACAGTCATCTGCCTGAAACACTTCGCCCTGCATTATTCAACAAACGAAATCTAGTTACCGCGACAAGGGTTTGTCACGTCATCTGACAAGTGACAGCTTTCGTGTCCTACAGGCTGCTGGACGATTTTCGTCTGTTTTATTTATGCTACTTGTCTGCTTGCGGGGTATGATGAATAATCGATGTGTGCTTGGTTGTCACTGAATCATAGGGAACGCAAGTCGAATCTTATTTATATAATTGTAAAGTGAAAGGTTCTGTAATCTGAAGTAAATTACTTAAAGTCAGTTCTTGAGAAGAAATGTATTTATTGATGAAATACTTGTTGGTACGTAATGAAAAAATACTGGGATTCTTTATAGCGAAGAGATTCCCACCTTCTACATCTTCATCAGTCGAGCACATCAAATTCAGGACCACAATGATGTATGGCCAGCATTGTGTCACACAAAAAGTAATAATAAAGGTTCCTAAAAAAGATGGCTGCCTTTACTGAGATAAAAACTCTTGAAGGATGCTACTGAAAATACGTTTCTCTCAAAACTTGGACGACAGTGTGTGGTTCAAAAGGGAAATATCTGATGTATGAGATACGTCAAATAGGTGTGTAAAACTACCGAGGTTACAAGCATATAAGTATACTAAGGTAAAAAAAAATAAATTCACCCTCCTCCACCCTCAACAACCTCCAATTTTTCACCCATCCAAATTTTTTTTTTCTGGGAATGATCTGGGTCCTATGAAGCACCAAGAACGCATTTTGTGTTTATTTTTTCCCCGCCACTGGACCGTGAAAATTTCATCCAAATCCAAGCAGGATTTTCAAAGTTATAGACGAGTCAAGGAATAACGGTAAGACCGACCGAGGGACCGACAGATAGACAGACAGACGCCTATAAATGTCATATCACATCTAAAAAACATAATGAGCCGCATTTATAAAACAAAGGATATCCTTGTACTCGCAAATTTTGATGGAAATCCTCCAGATGGTATTTATAATAATTTGATGCAAATGCTTTTGCTTTTTGAGAATAAGCATATCCTTCAAAGCAGTGACATAAGTGAAGGGATATTCATAATCTTCACCTTATACTTGGCAGCATATCCTTCAACAATTCTGAGTGTGGTCAGTAGGAGACTCAACTTCGTAACGAAAGGTGGTCAAACGATGACGACGAAAATTGTGGATGTTAGGGATGTTTAAACGTACAAATCTCGTTTACCTTCACTTGGTCGTGACTTCAAAAATTATATCGGTTCGACGAAGCAAATGTACAATGGCTTGCGGACAGATTTTTAGTTGAGAATCAGAAAACTCGAAGAGGAGAACTTTCATGTATTAATAAAATGAAGATATGTCTACGCTATCTCGGTGACCCTGGATATCAACAAGGTATTAGTCAGGAACGTGGTGTTAGTCAAGCAACGCTATCTCGGACTGTGGATAGAGTTGTGAATAGCATAGTTGCACAGTCGAACGAATGGATCAAGTTTCCAACTACCAACCATGAACTGATGGAGGCCAAGCGGATATGGCAAGGATGTATAAATTTCCGACAGCAATTGGTGTAATTGATTGTACACATATAGGAATCCTGAAACCAAATCGCCATGGAGATGAGTATATCAACCGAAAAGGGAAACCTACTTTAAATGTGCAAGCCACTTGTGATGCCAAAGAGATGTTCACAAGTGTTGATGTCAGTTGGCCTGGATCTGTGCATGATTCCAGAATATGGAGAAATTCACAGACAAGATCACAACTAATAAATAAAGCAAATGTTGTACTACTTGGCGATGACGGTTATGGTATTGAGCCATGCCTTATGACTCCCTTCAGAAATCCTACTCCAGGTGCAGAAATAAATTATAATAAGCTTTTAAAACAAGAAAGAGTTATAATTGAACGCTGTTCCGGCCAACTGAAACGCCTACAGTATGTTTGCCGCGTAAAGTTGGAAAATGTGCCGAAAATAATTATTGTTTGTATTGTACTCCATCAAACCCAGATGAAGATGAAGGAAATCATGAGAATGACGAACTTCCTCTCCGCCAACTAGGTCAACAAATAAGAAGAAATAGTTTTACTGATTAAAGTGTATTTATAAGTTATAATAAGTTTTATTTTCATGAACATCATAAGTTACAGGTGGCTTCTGATGCTCCATCATCTCTAATTTCGTTTTATAATACTCTTGTTGTAAAATACTTGTTTGGTACTGCTGTAATAGCACTAGACATTGCAGTTCTTTTGTAGTTAACCCTTTGGTTTCCTCAGTTTCGTATTTCTCTGTTGCTAATGTTCTTTTTGGTGGCAATGTCTTCTGATCACTTGAGGATGACATGCTTATTAATTTGACGGAACGGTCTGTGTAAGCTTTGGAGTACAACTGTCAGTGATGCTGAGTGAACGAACTCCCACGTCAACGACAAGCTGGAACAAGTCAGGACATGTCGCTCAAGATACAAATACCAGTCAACCTTTTACTTCTTCTTGGAGGATATCCTCGCGAGTATAAGGTAATCATTATGAATATGAAAACAAGGATGTGCTTATACTTCTACCTTTTTCTCCGAAGCAAGACCTTATACGTTTACCTTATGCTTCCGAGGATACGCTTCCCGTTTATGAATACGGCTTATTATCGCATTTTCGAATATTTTCGCGATTACAATGCTCCTTTGATTTCCATAAAATTAGCCTTTTCTGAGAAAAACGGAATCTAAAACTCGATCAAGTGATTTGGAAGACAATGTCTGGGGTCATCAGTCAACCAAAATATATAAGTGTGCTAAAGTAGTGGTGTTTTTTCCAAGAACGTCTCAATTTATCAAGCAAAGGAGAGTATATTTTTTCTGCTCAGGGAATCAGTTACAGGATTATTTAGCTATTATTATAGCGTGGGAAAAATAGCAAAAAAACGCCTAAAGGCTGTTCCGTCACTTGATTAAAATTATCCGCTTGTTTTCTACGGATACCATTGTTTAGAGACTCAATTCCTTCATATATTCTGGCAAAATTACGTGGAATTATACAGCGTCGTTTAAAAATTATTTTAGGAAAAACAGAAATTCAGTAGCGTCCTTTAGGGGTACGTATCTCCGTAGGGACGTCTAGTAGGTACTTTGTATAGGAACTTGTAAGATTATTTTTTGTGTTAAAAACTGCTACTTAGCATTTGCATGGGCTGTATGCCAACAAAAACATTTTCATTAAAATTTTATGTGAAAGACCAGCCATTTCCAAAATGCTTTATTGTATGTCATTATATTATTCCTGCCAAGACCAATATACAGGGTGTCCGCAAAGTTGGGGTTTTCCTTTACACGACGTGTAGATCTTGAAAACATAAGCAATCTTTCTTAGTACCATATACACCAATGTCTTAAGGGAACCGAGATAAAGGGCTCTGCAACATCAAGAATATCTGAATACGCGTCCTGTAACCGCGACATCCCCGAGTGGTACTAGGACGACAGAACTGGGTCGGGGTCAGTGTGTCAGGTCAGTATGCAACCTTCAACCGACGATTACGGTCACGCGTGTAGAGGTAATCGCCTAGACGAGAATCCCTCAACAAGCACTATACCTAGACGTGGCTAGAGAAGTGCAAGTATCAAAAACTAAAGTGTGGCAAACGCTGCGTGAAGAGGGGCTGTATCCGTTTCACGTCCAACGTGTACAAGCCCTTCAACCTGACCATTTTCCTCCAGCAAGAGTGCGGTTTTTGACGTGCATATTGGTGACAGACGAATCTACGTTCACGCGTAATGGGGTGATAAGTTTCGCAACAGTCATGTTTGGTCAGTAGAAAATCCGCACGCTGTCCGTCGGGCACATTTTCAACAAACATTTTCGGTGAATGTTTGGGCTGGCATGGTGAACGGTATGCTTATTGGACCATTTATTCTCCCAAATCGATTGGACGGGATGCAATACCTAGACTTTTTACGCAACATTTTGCCTTCCTTGTTTGCCTGCGTCTGCTCGGTAGCGCATCAGCTGATTTCATTTTCTGTTGGAGCGGTATGATTTCGGGCAGAGACGTACTTAGCCCTTCTCGTCAACTGGAGAGTGAGTACTTTTTCCTTTATTTTTTTTACTTGGTCGCCCTCGTTTTACGACACATTACCTTTGTTATTTCAAGGGTAGTTGTTTCTGAAAAGGAAAACCCCAACTTTGCGGACACCCTGTATATATGTATATATATAAATGTTGCCGACTGATGAGCAATCTAACAAGATATGATCACATATCAGGTCATATCATTGCTATGAACAGGCTAAGTGTTAAAGTCTTATACAAACATTTATTACTTACAATTGTACATAAAGCAATGCTCAATATGAAACCTTTAAACTTGTATAGCAAATTCATCCCTGGTCATAATATAGTCCACCCCAACATAATTATTTGTTTTCCTAATACATTCTCTATGCCAAGCCTTCTTATGGAAAAAGGACGTGATCAGAAAAAATTGTGGTATGGATTGAAAAATATGAAAGCACAGACATCTGATAAGCCACGTATTCCAAACCATCTTGCAGATCCGTTCCTTGCAAATAATTATTTCATATCAGTTTTTGATTCCACAAATGCTCCTGATTACGTTTTAAGATATTATAACGAAAATGTTCCTCATATTAATAAATTTTCTTTTAGGCTTCTAGAGCCTCATGAAGTAGCTGTAATAATTTCTAGTTTTAAGTCCGATGCAAAAGGTACTGATGGATTGAGCTTGTCTATGATTAAGCTCAGTCTGCCTGTTACTCTCATCTACATCACCCACCTTGTTAATAGTTGCCTTGAAAGAGGTTATTTCCCTGAAACGTGGAAGCGAGCAATTGTGGTACCAGTTCCAAAAAAATTCAAATCCAGATGAGTTTGCTGATCTAAGACCTATAAGCCTATTGCCTTGTTTATCGAAGGTAGTTGAAAAGGCAGCCCACATACAACTAATGCATTACGCAGAGGAACATATCATCCCATCTAAACAGTCTGCTTTTAGGAAATCTTTCAGTACTACTACTTCCCTCTTAAACTTGGTTGATAATATTATTAGAGCACTTGATAAAAAAATGGGCGTAGCAGTGATGTCAATCAATTACTCCAAGGCCTTTGACAAAATAAATCATGAGTTGTTAATAGCACAGTTGAAGTATTATGGCATAGATCCAATTGCATTGAACTTTTTCGAAATTACGTATACATCAAATCGATCGCAGTGTGTATCAATTGAAAACAATAAATCTAGTTTTCTAGAAATCTCGTCTGGAGTACCTCAGGGGTCTGTTTTGGGTCCCTTGTTGTTTTTGATATATATTGCTGATCTGCCTAAGGCTGTGAGTTTTTGTGCACTCCAGTCTTTTGCGGACGATACTCAACTGGTCCATTATTTTGATACTGATGATATGGAAATGGCACAGACGTCAATAAACCATGATATTCAAAAAGTGTATGACTTCTCGAATAACCACAACCTGTCAATAAATCCTAGTAAGAGAAGAAATTAAAAGTCAATTAAATATTAAAATTGGATCTCAAAGACTGTACCCGGTTGACGAGGTTAAAATTCTTGGCGTGGTAATCGATTTCAAACTTAGATTCACTAGTCATGTTAAAAACCTTTTAAAGAAAACCTACTTGAGACTGAGATCACTATATGCCAATAAAGCAATTTTCAATTATAAGCTAAGGAAAAAACTGTGCTCATCTTTGGTTATGCCGATTTTCAACTACTGTGATATTTTATATTATCCGTGTCTCAATGTTGTTACTAGAAATCGGATTCAAATTGTGCAAAACAATTGTGCTAGGTTCATCTGCGGTTTAAGGCGCTTTGACCATGTTTCTGGTAGTCTTATTGAATTAAACTGGATGATAAAAATGTTGTCAAACATCATTACCTTGTTTTCATTCATAAACTAATACTTATGTCAAAACCTATATACTTAAGAGAAAAGCTGATCTTTAGGCGTAATATTCATCATAGACATATTAGATTTGCAAATTTGATAGCTACACCTATTCACTCCTCAACTTTATTCCAGCGTTCTTTCACGTACAGTGCTTCAGTGTTATATATACAATGCCTTGAGTCCTGAATTCAAATTGCTTCAAGAAAGCTGTCAAACCTCATATCTGCTTGGATCCATAGTCTTAATTAGGTTGCTATAGATATATTGTTAAATGATTCTTCACTTCCGTTGTGTACATGTAGTTGCGACATGTATGAATATATGTGTGTATATGTATGTACTCGTATATATGTATATACGTATATGTATATTTTGTTTGATATCTGCTACTTAACAAATTGTTTTTTTTTTGCATGGGTGGTTAAGTCTAAGAGTAGCATGTTGCTAAACTTCGCCACCATATGCAACTCTTGTTTTTCTGTATTAAATCGTACAGTTTAAATTATTATTATTATTATTATTATTCACAAGAACTTTCACATTTAATGTAATCTTCTTATAAAATTCTCTACCAAACGACCAGAAAAATATGACAGTGCAGAAGTTCAATGAAAATTTGAAAATGAATGTTTTGCATATCGTTGTTAACACAA